GGAATTGCTGGGCAGAGGGCTGTGGGGACCATGGTCTCAGGGAACATCTAGCTCAGTTGGCATAACACAGTTTATAAAGACAATGTTCTACATTCTACCTTGATGAATAGCGTCTGGGATCTTAAAAGCCTGTGAGCAGCCATCTAAGATACTCCATTGGTCTCACTCTTTCGGGAGCAAGGGAGAATGAAGAGAACAGGATACAAGCAAAAGATCAATCCAAAGAACTAATGGACCACAGCTACCAAGGCCTCCACCAGACTGAGTCCAGTACAGCTAGATGGTACCCGGCTACTACCACTGACTGCTCTGACTGGGAACACAACAGAGGGTTCAGGACAGAGCTAGAGTAGGATGTAGAACAAAATTCTAACACACACAAAAAAAGACCAGATTTACTGGCCTGAAAGAGACTGGAGAAACCCCGAAGAGTATGGCCCCTGGACATACTTTTAGAACAGAAAAGGAAAAAAAAAAAAAGAAGGAAAAAAGGCTACTAAAGGACAGGAAAAAAAGCGATCAGAAAGATAAAAAGAATGAAAAGGATAATAGGAACACAAACACAAGGAGAGAAGAACATTAAAGAAGCTAGTTAATGTTAAATGAATGCACAGGAAGAAAGGTAGAGAAAATGTACTCAGTGCTAAGACTGTTCCATGCCAACCAAATCAAGACTTACTACAATACTGACAGTCCAATATTAGCCCACCTGAGCCCTATGTCATGGATTGCTTTGTGTCCTTCAAAAGTATCTGTCAACTTGGCTAGGTCATGATTCCTAGTACTGTGTGATTATCCACCATTTCATCATCTGATGTGATTTTCCTATGTGTTGTAAATCCTATCTCTATGATTTAATGAGATGGGATTATCGGCAGTTATGCAAACTCAATCTACAAGATTAATCTACAATTTAAGCCAATCTCTTTTGAGACATGAAAGAGAAGCGAGCAGAGACAGGGGGATCTCATACCACCAAGAAAGACGCCAGGAGCAGAGCGTGTCCTTTGGACCCAGGGTCCCTGGGCTGAAAAGCTTCTAGAGCAGGGGAAGACTGATGAGGAGGACCTTCCGCCAGAGCTGAGACAGACAGAAAGCGTTCCCCTGGAGCTGACACCCTGAATTTGGACTTTTAGCCTACTAGACTGTGAGAGAATAAACTTCTCTTTGTTAAAGCCATCCACTTGTGGTATTTCTGTTATAGCAGCACTAGATGACTAAGACAGCCCTACCTAGATCTGAGCCTCCCTGACACAGGACTCTTCTATTTCCTTTTTCATTCAACTCCCTTTCTGTTCATGTTGGTTTGCTACCTCCCTGTGAAACTTTCCTAAGTATTCTCCTCTTAAGTATACAAAGTGTTATATTAAAGAAAGCATCTGAATATTATTACTAAGTACAATTATCAAGGAAAAAAGGAGGCCAGAGTTAGGTTTAGTTGATGTGAACTGGACATGCTTTTTTCCTTTAACCAAATGCTTGAGAAGAAAGTATCTACTGAGATGTTTGTGAATTCTTTCTCAGAATAATTTTAAGTAACCAATGAAATACATCAGCAAATGAAATCCTACATCAACTTACTTAGGATAAAAAAGAAAATAAAGCAAATAGACTGAGTAACCAAAAAAAAGGACTCAAGTTAACTTACTATTGCATGTAATACTGATGAGCATACATCTGTTGCCACCACAGCATCTGCAGTGGGCTGAAAGCAGGATACACTGGGAACCCAGCCGGGATGGCTCCCCCAGGAAACTGGTTGTCTACATTTCTACAACAGAAAGAAGTAAAGAATGTTAATGCTCCAGAAGCTGAAAGTAGTTCTCTGAATTTCCATTTCTGATTTACAAATTATACACCGATATGATGTATGGAATCTTACGGAAAAGAGAAATACTTATTTTCAACATTCTTGAAGATGTTATGACTTACATAAGATGACCCTGGGCTCAAGAACACGGAATAACTACCACCTCAGCCCAGTTTTAATGGGAAAATAAATCAAGTCATCTACAAAACGTACGGCAAACTTGAACACTTATTATCTTCTCATTTCAGCACAGAAGGCCAAAACTACCTTCATTTTAAGTACATTCTCCTCAAGAACTATTCACCAAAGCCCTAAAATAAACTTAATGACAAAAATATTTTAAGGAAAGAGAGAGCTAACCATTTTATGTTAGTAATAATATACTATTTAAAACATGTAAAAACGGTTGTAGCAGTACATCAGCAGGGAACTGCCATAAATTCAAGCTGGATTCAGAAGAGGACATGTAACAAAGGATATCACTGCTGGTGTCAGATGGTTCTTGGCTGAAAGCAGAGAATACCAGAAAGATGTCTACTTGTGTTTTACTGACTATGCAAAGATATTTGACTGTGTGGATCATAACAAATTATGGATAGCATTGCAAGGAACAGGAATTCCAGAACACTTAAATGTGCTCATGTAAAATCTGTACACAGATCAAAAGGCAGTTGTTCAAACAGAGCAAGGGGATACTGTGTGGTTTAAAATAAAAAAAAGTGCGCATCAGGGTTGTACCCTTCCATAATACTTATTCAAACTGTATGCTGAGCAAATAATCCAGGAGGTGGACTATATGAAAGAGAATGGGCCATCAGGATTGGAGAAGACTCGTTTACAGCCTGCAATATGCAGATGACACAACCTTGCCTGTTGAAAGTGAAGAGGACTTGAAGCACTTACTGATGAAGATCAAAAACCATAGCTGGGAGCTTCTAAAAATCACTTACGCTCATCAAAAGACTTCACCAAAAGGGTAAAAAAGGCAACCTACAGACTGGGAAAAAATTTTGGCTATGACAAATCTGATCAGTGTCTAATCTCTAACCCCTACAAGATACTGCAAAACCTCAGCAACAAAAAGACAAATAACCCAATTTAAAAAATGGGCAAAGGATATGAACAGGCACTTTGTCAAAGAAGATATTCAGGTGGCTAAGAGACACATGAAGAAATGCTCACAATCATTAGCCATTAGAGAAATGCAGATCAAAACTACAATGAGATATCATCTCACCCCAACAAGGCTAACATTAATCCAAAAAGCACAAAATAATAAATGCTGGAGAGGTTGTGGAGAGACTGGAACACTTACACACTGTTGGTGGGAATGTAAAATGGTACAACCACTTTGGAAATCGATTTGGCGCTTCCTTAAAAAGCTAGAAATAGAAGTACCATACGATCCAGCTATACTGCTCCTTAGAATATATCCTAGAGAAATAAGAGCCATCACACAAATAGATATATATATGCACACCCATGTTCACTGCAGCATTGTTCATAATAGCGAAAACATGGCAACAACCTACATGCTCATAAACAGATGAATGGATAAACAAACTATGGTATATCCACACAACAGTAACTCAAAAGATTAGATAGGAAACTTAGGGGGAAGTAAGTTTATGTTAATGGAGAAAGAACAATTCAGAAAAAGGTGAGAATGGTTGCACAACTTGTATAATCAATGTCACTGAATTGTACATGTAGAAATTGCTGAACTGGTATATGTATGTTCTACTGTGTATACTCAACAATAAATAAATACTTTTTTTTTTTAAAGGGAGAGAGAGAGACCCTTACCATAGCACTTTTCATCATGTTGAAATTGCCTATTTTCAATTACTACACCTAGGTATTTACCCTTTGACCCATCAATCCTACTACTTCTAGGACTCTATCCTTAATATATCCTGGAAAAAATATGAATGACGTATGACAAAGCTATTCATTGCAGCACTACACATAAAAGCAAAGACTGGAAATAACTCAAATATTCATCAATAGATTACATGTCACAGTTCATGTACTCAATTAATGAATTACCGTGCAGCTGTAAAGAAGAAAGAAGATCTTAGCTACTCCTATGAGGTGATCTCCTGTATCTTTTAAGTAAAATTTGTTAAAAAGAAAGATGCAAGAGAGCATGTATAATATGCTACCTTTTGTGTAAGAGAGAAAAATACATACACACACACTCCTTTGAATTCTGACGAAGAAACAATGGAAGGATAAATCAAAAAATAATAAAAATAGATACCTACTATGGAGAAAGAACGGGGGAAGGGAACAGAATGAAACAAGCCTCTCCGAATGTAGCTTGTTTTATAGTTTTGATACTGGAATCATGAAAATCGTTTATACAATTAAGAAAAAAGTAAATCAAAAAGAAAATACTACCAAGCTATTTAAAAAAAAAAGAAATGGAACCAAACTTGTGTATGAAGTTTTACAGCATAATCACACAGAGACAAATCATTCTACTGATATTAAAACACAGTATTTTAATTATATATCCCTAGTAGGATAAATTCTAAGACAAAAAGAACCAAAAAATTTTTAAGTCACATTATATGAATGGAAACAGTACTGTTACTTTAAACTATCTGATAAAAATAAACACATACTGGATAAAGCAGTAATTATGCTAATCTAAGATTTTCATCAAAAAAGATAAATACATAAATCAAAGAAGTTCTGTAAAAACCCTTTAATCTTTAACCTGAAATATCAGTATGAACTCATTTTTTTTTTTTTCTTTCTAAAAAAACATTATTTCTTATCTCTGACAACTGAAAAGGCTTAGAAGCATGACAACTGAGTAGCAATGAGGACTTGTTAGTACCTAAATTATGATCTGTAAATACTATTTCTCATCAGGATTCCCTGGAGAGAGGTTCAAGATGAGCCTGGGGTGTTGTCATGCCTGAAATCTAAGACATTATAAAAAACTACTAAAAATCACATCAAAAGGACACAGCAGACAAACTGAACAGGCCAAAAAATAGGATAATGTAAGCATCAAAATGAATGACTACAGTAGAATGAAACACAAATATATAAAAAACCTAAGCTCATACTGATAATCTATAACAAAATAAAATAACTCATTGGCCACCTAGGCAGGTTACAAGGACACAACTTATTACTCTGGAAATTAATAAAGGCAAAGAATCCAGCATTCAACAGGCCTTTCCTGAATGGACTGAATTCCAACATAACAAAATAGTTGAGAGAACATTCTCGAAACAAGAAGCACAGGCAATAAATGGAGAAATGATAAAATTAGGAAATTACCATTTTGCCAACAACTCATGAAATAATGTTGTTGTTGTTGTTGTTAGGTGCCGTCGAGTCAGTTCTGACTCACAGCAACCCTAGATACAACAGAATGAAACACTGCCCACTCCTACACCCTTCTCACACTCATTGTTAGGCTTGAGCCCATTGTTGCAGCCACTGTGTCAATCCATCTCACTGAGGGTCTTCCTCTTTTTTACTGACCCTCTACCAAGCATGACGTCCTTCTCCAGGGACTGAAATAACGAATAATAATGAAATAACAGATCTAGTCAATGATCATTATGAGTTGCCACTGAGTCGGTTCCGACTCATGGTGGCCCTATGTGCTGCAGAGTAGAACTGCACTCTATAGGGTATACAAGGTTATAATCTTTTGCAAGCAGATCGCCAGGCCTTAATCATTAACAGCTCTAAAACCATCACCTGGATGATGAAGAACTTAATAATGGATAGATCAGGCTGATAACACTGAACCCACTGATCAATCCTAACATGACTAGAGGTGAGATAGCCAAATTTTATGTGTTTCCTGATGTGATGCAATAGCAAGGACACAGCATTACCTATGAAGAATTCTGGAAAAAAACAATTTTTTTTGAACCTTAGACTGAATTTAATCAAGTCTTAGATTTAACTACCAGTTTACAGGCAATATGGAGATAGAAGAAAATGCTAAATGATACCATGAGGACATTGCCAACTATAAACCACTGTGGGAAATTACACAGAACAACAACAAAAAATAGCATGACTTAAAAAAAGGGAGGTGAAAGGGGATTAGATTAGAAGAGCCTTAAGAAACATCAACCAAATGCAATATGCCAACCTCTTTGAGTACTGATTCAATCAAAACAACTATAAAAAGACATTTGAGACAATCAGGAAAAACTGAACACAAATTGGATATTAGATGATATTAAACAATTTTGTTGAATGTTCTAATGGTACTGTTATTTAAGATATTTAAAGTCCATATTTGTCATAGCTGTTACAGAGAGACAATAAGTACTTACAGACGATTTATATGATGTCTAGGTTTGTTTTAAAATATACTCCAGCCTCAGAAAAATAGAGGGGGCAAAGTGGAGTAGATGAAAAATAACAGTCCATTAACAGTTGCTGAAGCTGGGCATTAGGTACATGGGGGTCCATTATAATACTTTCTGTACTTTATAAATATTTAAAAACTATATTTAAGGTTTTTTTTAAATTAAAAAAGCAATGAATAAAAATATTGCCTGTTTAACCTAAATATACATAATCAGGGGACTAGTTCATTAAATTATAGTAATCCATATAAAGGAGTACTGTTCAACTGATAAACAATGGGACAGCTCTATGCACACTAATGTAACAATCAGTAATACATAGTGAAAAAACAAGGTAGTATGTATAGTAAGTATGCTACCGTTTGTGTTAAAACACACACACACGGAGACATACTTGTGTAAGCACAGTTTATCTGGAAGATTACCAGAGAAGCTAACAATGGTTGCCTCTGAGGGCAACTGGGAGGCTAGGAGACACAGATGATACTTTTGAATGCATTTTTGTCCCCTTTAAAAATGATATCATGTGCATGTATTACCTCTTAGGAAATAACTGAAAAAAGAAATTGCCTATTTACTGTCCTGTCTCTATGACAAACTCTGCAT